CAAACTGACCCCATTTGCTGAGGTGCCTGCTTGCTATTATTATTAATATTGACAGGCGCAGGCTGGGTCTTATTTGGTCCCTTTTTTCCTGCTGGAACCCCCAATGTTCCAACATTTTAACGACGACGGAACAGTCGCCATTGGCTGAACCAAGGAGAATATTAGTCCGCAGTCTGCTCTGTACTCCATCACTCTAGATGGAGACTTAGTAAACACGGCGAAGAATTGCAAAAAAAAGAAGATTTAGAATAATAATCGTTAGTTAGGTATTAAAAATTATCGCCCGTCTCTCTTTTCTTTTCTTTTCGTAAATCAGCGTTCTTCTTGCAGTGCCTATAATTTCTTTTCTTTTCAGGGTCTCTCTCGTCTCCTGTCTCTGGTCTCTCTAGGCCGTCTCTCGCCTTCTCACTGGCTGCTTGATGGCGTCGCCCGCGGATGTTTTGTTGACGTTGTCGAGTTGGCGCTTTTAAGCTTCGAGAGTCCCATAAAGGGAAGTTCTTGTTAGTTGTTGGATGACAAAGCAGTTCACGTGCTGTAGTTTGCATGGTTTGCATACTTGCTTGTCGGGCTTGGCAGGCGGTGTTGATCACGAGATAAGCCGGGCCCTCTGCGATAACACCAGGACGGGACCTCTTGAGACGGCCGAGGAGCTGGACGACGGCGACGACGGCGACGACGACGACGACGAGGCGGACGAAGGAAACAGACGACGCTGGTCTCCGCGGGCTGTGGTTCAGCTCTTGTCCTGCAGCAAGATGGTGTACTACTTTACGTCAAATACGGTGACTCCTGCAGCGTTCATTTATGTTGGCAAAGACAAGGTTGAAAGTTAGACACCCAGAGTCCCCTCTCCCTCTCCTATCTCTCTCGATAAGCCGGAAGGCTGCTTGCTCACTGACTAACAGTTGGTCTCTGAAACATCTTAGACGAAGATCTGATCAAGCATGGCCTTGAGAATGACGTCTGGTAGCTACGTGTCCTGCTTCCTCTGTCAGATTTCTCCTGTTCCTGCGGCTTACTCGGTGTCGATTTCTTGCCTCGTTTCTTTCCTAGGGTGTGTTTTGTTGGATGCTTCCTTCTCCCCCCGTCTCCTCCTTCTCGGCTCGCAGAATTCCGTCCTGGATTGCTGACTTGCATTTTTTTCGTTTTGCCTTTGGTCTCTTCTAGTTTCATGTCGACAATCTATCAAGTGCCCACGTCTATCTTCGACTCCGGAAAGGCGAGAGCTGGGAGAATATACCCCAGGAGCTACTCGAGGACTGCGCACAGCTGACCAAGGCAAATTCTATCGAAGGCACGTTCAACACACGCTAACCCTCCCTTTTATTTTTTTCCCTCCCCTTACCTCTGCCGCGCCCAGCTGGTGAGAGCTTCGATTGACAGACGCAGGGAATAAAAAGGACAATGTGACTGTGATATACACGCCATGGTCCAACCTACACAAGACTGCGGCCATGGCCACAGGTCAGGTCTCATTCCATAACCCCAAGCTCACACGCAAGGTGTTTGTGCCGCAACGACAGAACCCCATTGTTAATCGACTGAACAAGACCCGGGTTGAAAAGTTCCCTGACCTTAGAGCCGAGAAGGAGGAGTACCTGGCACAGTGCAGAAAAGAGGAACGCAAGGCTAGGGAAGAGAAAAAGGCCCTGGAGAAGAAGGAACGCAGAGAAAGGGATGAGTTACGGTGGCAGAAGGAACACGCCTACGATGATCTCATGAGCCCAGAGAGCGTCCAGCAAAGCAACAACCAGGATCGAGGTGAAGACTTTCTGGATGACTTTATGTGATGATTCATTTGGGCTATCCAGCTCTGTTATTCATCTTAATAGGATAACCTCGGTCGCCAAGGAGATAATATCCCTAACCTAGGAAGGATGATGCAGCACTCCTACGAGGCCGCCTGAGTGGCTTCACCCGGGGCTGTTCCTTGGATGACAACAGAGCCTACTGAGTACGCATTGCTCTTGGATAAACTCCAGGACCTGGGCTTCTCCGATCTCTCCTCGACATGTCTAGATCATCTGATGAATAATAGTGGGAAGAAATATAATGACAAAGTAATAATAAGACAATATTGTAAGAAAACACGCCCTTGGCGCTAGTTAGTTAACTAAATAGGCGAGACATTCTCCAAATCGAATCAGAAAGCTTTCAGTGTCTTCACAAGTGAGACAAAAGGCACGTCTCCACGAAGGCGAGGCGTTTATATACACCTGATCTTGCTGTCTGCGTAACTATCAACTCGATGAATTGGTTTTGTACTTATGGCTATGGATGGATAGTTACCATGTTCCATGTCAAGTAGCCGGCTGCTGACGCAAGACTGGTTTAACCAACTAGTTAAGTTAGTTAGTCCAACTAAAATATCCAAAGTAACAACAACATATTCTCCAACTTCCAAACGGCTGATTCGCACCAAACATCCAATTAACACTGACCCTAGACGCTATTTCAACCTTGCCTCTTATTTCCTGCTGAAACATCATAATAGCTGAACAAATGCCTGTCAATTCAACGCCCGCCGGCCAAGGTTAGTCGCGCCGCATTCTTAGCCCATCAAGATCTAACGGCCTCTTGTATAGTGACCGAAAGCAAATCGAAGAAGAACAAGAAGAAGAAAGGCGGAAAGACCGGAGCGCCGAGTGAAAAAGATGGGAACACTGGAGCGACCCCCGTAGATTCCAAGAAGGATGGACAGCATGACGAACAACTGGACATGGTATCACATACTTCCTACCCTGAAATGGCAACTTGTCTAGATCAAGAAATACTAAAGCGTATTGGTTATTGTTATAAGGACTCGGACCATGCAACAGTGAACGGATCGCAAGAAGCTGAGCCGTCGGCGTCAGTTACAGAAAACCTCCAGAATCTCTCAATCGAAACTCCAACATCACACTCGAACGAAAATCAACCAGCGTCGGATACCAACCCAATGAAAAATGAAGCGGGTGACCGAGGCACTGACGATAGATTTGATGTTCTCGTGCGGGATCGAGACTCGCTACGGGAAGAAGTCATCGAGATGCGCCGTTCCCTCGAGGAGATACAGACTAAGCACGATGAGGAAATGGAAACCTTGCAAGAGAAGCTCCGGGTCTCGGAAAGCCAGAAAGAGCAGGCTGAGTCGCAATTCCACAGCTTGTTAGGGAGAGTGAACACAATTAAGTCTCAGCTGGGAGAGAGACTGAAAGCTGATGCTGTATGTTTCTCGTGATACCGTGCTGGCAGGTTTTACGGTGCGGGGCTAACCAGAGCTATAGGAAGAATTGACTGAAAAGAGGGCCCAGATTGAACAGTATGAAAGCGAGAATGCCTCCCTGAGAGCTGAGCTGGAGGCTAGATCCTCGAATATATCTTCCCTAGAAAGTGACCGCGAGCAACAGTCAAAGGAGCTTTCCAGCCTGCGAAATAGAATAAACCTCGCCCAACAGAATTGGATTAAAGAGAAAGAGGAGCTATTGGCACAGGAATCGGAACTGCGAACAGAATTTGAGGAAGCTAAGCAGGCAATGCATAGCTGGGAGATAATCGCGATGGAGGAGCGGTCCATCCGAGAAAATCTGGGAGAAAAAGTTATAGATCTAGACGAACAGCTGTCGACGATTAGGGCAGATTACGAGAAAATGACGTCTGATTATAACTCCCAGGGAGTAGCAGTTGAAGGCCTCCAAAAGGCGCTAAGAGAAATTCAAGCTGGTATGAATATTCCCTTCTCTTGGACAAATTTCTTGCCATCAAATTACTCACTACTTAATGTATAGCTCGAAAGCAAGAATTACGTGAACTAGTAGAAAGTACCAATGCACAAGTAGAGGAAGTCCGAAAGAAACTGGAAGATGCAGAGAAGCGCGCAGCCGAAGCTGATGCTGCCCGAGAAGAAACGCAAAAGAGCCTCGAAAGAGCTTTGCCGTTTGAGAAAGAGGTCAAGGAGAAGAACCTCCTTATAGGCAAGCTTAGACACGAAGCCGTTACTTTGAACGAGCATCTCACGAAAGCTTTACGGTTCTTAAAAAAAGGGAAGCCTGAAGACAACGTGGATAGGTATGTTTAATCTATTACCATCGCGGTGTTGTCTCACGCTGACTACTGATAGGAATCTTGTTACAAACCACTTTTTGCATTTCCTCTCTCTGGATCGATCAGATCCGAAGAAGTTCCAGATATTGCAGCTTATTGCTGCTCTTCTAGGGTGGAATGATGGTAAGCACTTACTAACTGTCAACTCCAACCATTATTTTTTATTTTTATGTTTAGCTGACGCTCTATCACAGAACAACGAGAGCAAGCTGGCCTTGCTCGACCGGGCGCCTCGGGGGGTTACAACAGTCTTAGAGCTCCACGGTCTCCGTCCATGTTCAAAACCCCAAGCTCACCCTCCCTGGCAACAGGATATTTTGGCACCAATGCAGACGCGCGGAAAGAGTCTCTGGCTGAGCTATGGTCGAATTTCCTTGAGCAAGAAGCCCAGGCAGAGGGAAAGCTACCGGCCCAGAACGAGAATCCCTCGGACAAGACGGCGTCATGACCGAGCTGCTTGTCTTAATATTAGAATTCCAATTTGTCCACACTTACGGGGGCCTCTTCTCCATATTCCTTTCAGCCCCTTTTTCCTTCGTCTCTCCAGTGTTCAAACAAGATATGAAAACTACTACGTGTATCAAGCAGTGGCGGCCTGCTTAGTCATTGGATAACCATCTCACTAGCTACAAACATTATTTTTAAATGGAACTTTCCCGCCCATGCAGCTTTGCGCGCCAAGACGAGAGAGGATGACATTTTATATGAGGGGGGGCGGCGGAGCACTGTTAAACTGTGATATACCGTTCGTCAGGTACAGGCCCTCCTCTAGCTCTTTATTTCACCCCTTCGCATACAGCCGCAGTCTTGCCCGCATGGCTTCCACAGGTAAACGCAAGACTTGCGGCCCGTCCATGATGTGTACGGCGCAATTTCCTTTGGCGATACGGTGCTAATGGTTCCCTGCGGCAGCAACTCAAGGCCCCCGGCCCATCGTGATATCTGGGCCTTCGGGCACAGGCAAGTCGACCTTGCTCAAACGCCTATTCGCCGAATACCCAGACAAGTTCGGCTTCTCCGTATCTCGTGAGTGCTCACCGCCACAAGGGAAAGCAACCGGAAGAGTTTGTGCTGTTGTTACTGGCTTTTTGGCTGATGCGTTGTGTGTTCTCGGGGTATGCAGACACCACTCGAGGCCCCAGACCAGGCGAGGAAGATGGCAGGGAATACAACTTCACCACCAAGGAAGCTTTCCTGAAGCTCGTTGACGAGGGAGGATTCATTGAGCATGCTCAGTTCGGCGGAAACCATTACGGAACCAGCATTGCGGCCGTGAAACGTGTTGCGGACCAAGGAAGAATATGCGTCCTTGACATTGAGATGGAGGTAAGCAATGGATCAAGTAAAAAAAGAGAGGCTGGCCGCATGTTGTGTTATTTTGGTTCTGACCGTTTGTGTGAAATTTGTCTCTGTATAGGGTGTGAAACAAGTGAAACGGACCGATCTCAATGCCAGGTTCCTCTTCCTTGCTCCTCCGTCTATCGAAGAGTTGGAAAGACGCCTGCGTGGTCGCGGTACTGAGTCAGAGGACAGTCTGCAAAAGCGACTGGCCCAGGCCCGAGTTGAGTTAGAATACTCGAGGCAGCCTAATGCACATGACAAGATTGTTGTTAACGATGAGCTTGAGGCGGCATATGCCGAGCTTAGAGATTGGGTGGTAGATGGCGGGAAGTTTGGCTCGCCATGATCTTGGGATAAACTCCTGATTTGGCATACAATTTTTGGAGCTAGCAGTAGTAGCCTCATTTAGAAAAATGGGGCTGACATAGACACTACAGATAGATACAAACCCAGAGGATGGTGTTTGTTCTAAAACGGACATGAGATTGGCTACAGTGTTCTTAAACACTTTTGGCTGGCTAATGGGACGCACGTAAGGATATTAAAAGTAATTTCAAAATGAGAAATACGGGATAACGAATATCAAAAGGATAAAATAAAAGAGAAAAAGGTAATGGCCATTAACGTTGACGTCGCAGGGACTCGTCGAGCCCGTTAACTATGGCGCATGGAAGATTAAGTGGGTTGGGTATCATGTTCCACGTTAACTTGAAACCCTCAAGAAGGGGAAGCGTTTGGTAATAGCAACAAGAAAAAATATCGAGAAAAGGCCTAGTTGCCGTTCATAGTCACTCTTTGGGAGTTGCGGCTCAATTCCCGGTCGGCAGCAGGGCTAATTGGTCGACTTCCAGAGTGGCCGGTTGCACTGCTCTCCTTCAGAGCAAGCAGCTGCTTAGCGCGGAAAGTCTCATAGTGTATCTGACTGGTGGTTTCGATCAGGTCCTGGAGGTGAGTGCGGGTGAGGAAGTTGCGGAGATAGACGAATTCGCAGTGGTTTTCGTTTTCAACGTTTATCACACCCCAGCGGTTCTGACGGCCGCGGACCTGCTTTCCGTCGACGATGATAGACTTCTCACTGCCAACAACAGCAAACGGAATGATATCCTAGGGAAGAATGCTTAGCTGCGACGTCGCAAGGGATGCAAAGAAATTATATGCGGGGCAGAGAAAGAAGTACCTTGATCTGCGCATTGACAGCACGCTCCTCGTCGTCAAGCTCGTCGTTGTCGTAAGGATACATCTTGAGGTTGTGGAAGGCGAATTCCTCCTTGATTCTTTCCTTGAAAGCAAGGCGCTCCTCCAGGGTAAGGGAGTCGGACTTGGCGATAACGGGCACAACATTGACAACATCAGACAGTTTCTTGAGAACGACGATATCAATTGGTTTTAGGCTACAATGGTAAGTTAGTAAATAACGGTGAACGCTAATTCCGGAGTTATGTCTCAAAACATACGCATGTCCAGATGGCTGGATGAAGAAGAGACAGCAGTGGATTCTGGTATCTTGGATATATCGTTCACGCTGAGCAGTAAGCTCCTTGCGCAAGTAGGCGGAGTGCTGGTCTTTGATGTACTTGACGATAGGGTCCCAGCTATAGAATCAATTAGCCCCGACGATGTCCAGTCTGGAACAGCTCCAGAGGCCTGATTCAACGTACCATCTGTCATTGTTGACTTGGTCTCCGTACCCAGGGGTATCGACAATGTTCAATCTCAGGCGTACACCGTTTTCCTCAATGACTATCAAGCATGATCAGATATGGCTGAAAAGTGACAAAAAAGGGGGGAGGGAACGAGATGCGCCGTATCGGAACAACGTACTGTGTGACACAGTCTGAATCTCCGTGGTCGAGCGGACAGGCTCGTCAGGTGCGAGACGGCCCTTGGAGTCAATGAGGTGAGAGGCGAAGATGGTGTTGATCAAGGTCGATTTTCCTAGACCAGTCTGGCCTGTATGTATGAGACAAGAACGTCTACGTTAGACCCGGATCGATCTCAGGGAAACAGGGGTGAAACGGTATATAGAAAGGCGATATGGGATCCAACATACCAACGCAGATGACGTTGAACTGAAAGCCACGCTTGAGCAGCTTCTTCTCGATCTGCGAGGTGATGCTGTCGAAACCAACATGGCTTCTGGGGAAGACTGTGTCGGTGGGAGAGGCAGCGGCGGCCATCGTTGCTGTTTATTATGGGTTGGAACGGTCTCGAAGTTATTATCTAGCGACGGAGAGGAAGGGTACGACGGGCGATTGGCAAGACTCGAAGCTCTGCAGCAGCTGTCGGAGAGGGTGGTTGCGAGGACGAGGGAGAAGCAGACGCAGGAGAGGAAGAAGAACTTCAGACTTGTGCAGCCCCCTTTCTTAGGTCGCTGTGCCGGAGCCAGGAGGAGATGATCGTTTGCGCGCGAAGCTAAAAGGCGAACTTTTTGTCTTGCTTTTGGTTTTTTTTTTTTTTTTTTTTTTTTCTTTACTTTTCTACTGGGACGTCAGGGGCAAGTTGGGCGCTAGGCCGGTTGGGGGCTAGCGCGGCGACACGGGCCAATCAGCGGCTGTCGTGCTTTTCGTGACTTTTTTTTCCTTCGATGGTGATGCTGAAAGGTCGACGTTGGAAAGCAAGCTGACGGCGAAGGCGAAGTCGAAGTTGAAGTCGAAGCTGACTAGAGAGAAGACGATACTCACAGCTGCCGCGCAGGATGGCTGCTCTCCGACTCGCCGGCCCCTCCATGGGACTCCTCTCCTCGACCGCCTTGACTCGAACGCCCGGTATATACGCAGCCGCCGGCAGCTCGATATCCGGTTCTCTCGCCGCGAAATACCATGCATCCCGATACGCAGTCGCTGCCGTGCTGCCGTCCCTGCTGTCAGATATCTGGGAGTCGATCCTCCGCGCCGTGCCCAAGAAGAAGACCTCGCACATGAAGAAACGACACAGACAGATGGCTGGAAAGGCCTTGAAGGATAATATCAGCCTCAACACATGTCCGGCGTGCGGGAATACCAAACGAGCTCATCTGCTCTGTCCTCACTGCGTTGCCCGTATGTCTCTGCAATTGTACTCCTGATACTACTATTCTACCACCAGTTCAATGCTAATTGAGCCGAACAGAGGTCAAGAGAGAGTGGAACTCTCAAAGTGCTACTCCCAACATATAATAACCCCCATTTTCTTTTAAACCAGTTGATTTATGTGATTGCTATTATTTCTTATCACAACCATTGGGTGCACCATTTGGGGCAAGGCAAGGCTTTACTACGAGAAAAAGCGGGCGTTTTTTGGTTATCCTGTACCATATACTTTCTTTTCTACGGCTACACTCAGGTCGTTTGCGTCTTTATCTGATGGAAGGGAAACCAGCTTTCTTACCTGGTATTCTACAGAGATTTTATGACAAGAGGCTTTAAAAATGCCGTGTGGTATATTCAAATCCATGTAACTTATGTATTTGTAGTGTGAGGTGGTGATACATAGCAGTCCCCTCAAATGTGGAGCTATTTCGGAGCGTTCAAGAATTCTATTCCTTATTTTACATTTACAATAGCTACACTACTTATCAATGCTTTGTGCTCCCAACATCGCCCACATCAAACGCTCTCCATACAAGATAGCTAACCTGAGAAGCTACATTAAGAATACCCCCAAATAACTTAACAGACAAGATGGCAAGTGGGACGGGTTTGATGTTTCTACCAACGTCTACCTGAGGCTAACTGTCTGCGTAAAACAGTCCAAGCAAATACTAAGTCTGCACACAATAGAGAATGGTGCGTACTCGCTATGGTACTTACGAAGAAGAGTCTGCAGTTTCTAACATGGAATAGCACACTTATCTGAAATATTCTCTCTCGCTGTGACCCCTACTCAGATCTTATCAGCCTCGGGTGCATCCTCGCTCAAGGCCCATCTGGCCAACGAGGAAGGATTTGGCATAGCCCAATCTCTCACAGCAGCCCACAAGATTGGCTGTCATCACCTTGCCACGGCGAAAGGGTCTGGGTGTTATGCGGCCAGTGTTGGCTTTGGAGGAGAGGTAAAGCTATGGCGTTACGAGGATGGGATGTGGAATGAAGACCTCAAAGGTGGGCAATACTTTCAAAGAAATAACCGCGTCCAAACTGGCTAACTTCATACAGATAACGGCAAGGTAAAAGATATATGGGCTGTTTCTCTGTCCTCAGATGCGCGGTACCTTGCCGGCACCACCCATGATGGCCGTATTAAAGTCTGGGACCTTCAGAACAACATAGAGGAGGTATGGAACTTTGAGACGAGAGGGAGCTTTGGCATGTGTGTCGATATGGTAATATAATCCCACTCCTTCCTCCAATACATATTTTGCTTATGTCCCTGGAAAAAGTCACCGGACGGTCGTTTGATTGCGTCTGGCCATCAAAGCGGGAGCGTTTACGTCTTTGACCTCGCAGAAGGAAGGATGCCGTTCTCGCTATCAGGTAATTTCCATACGCCTTGCCTGCAGAGATCAACACAAGCTGATGAACCTAGGTCTTGCCTCACCCGTTAGAGCGGTATCGTTTTCTCCCGGAGGAAAGTTACTGGCTGCTGCGGGGGACTCTACAATGATTATGATTTATGAGACAAGCTCCGGGGAACAGTTTGCAACACTGATCGGCCATGCCGCGTGGGTTACCTCCTTGGACTGGAACGACTCTGGCGAATATCTCCTAAGCGGGTGAGTAGTATTGGTAATACTATGGCATCAGATTTATTGACATTTCGACTAGTTCGTTTGACGGCAAAGTTAAAGTGTGGTCAATTGAGCGGAAGGCCTGTGTTGCGACGCTCTTAGAATCTGATAAGGCTATATGGAGCGTTAAATGGCTGCCAAAGGTGGGAAAGGCAGAACGGTTCGCGGCAGCAGGCGCCAGCCAGAGCATTGCATTATACCGAGAAGCTAACAGTAGCTAAGCAATTGTTCGATTTATGGTATGGTGCCACTGTCTTCTGTGATGTCCATAATCATGCATTGTTTTGAAAGACCGTGGTATCGATATGCAAATTGTACAGAGGGCAGAAACGTATATATGTTTTATTATAGTCACCTCACTAAATAGGCGTAACTCACTAACATGCTTTTTAATTCAAAGCTGCAACAAAAAGTCTCCGCATTCTCTTGAGGAAAGCACCAAAGTCTCTGTCATCATTCACAATGTCAACAACTTCGGTAATAGCGGATTTATCGAGCTTAGGCCGACAATGAAGTACCTCATATTCATGGCCTGCGGTTCCAAGTTCAAACCAAGCTTCTCTCTCCCAGTCCTTTTCCAAAAGGTGTGTATAGATGATCTTCAGCCGGTCTTCTCTTCCAGCCCCTTCGATTCGCAAACACAGCAGGTCTTGCCAAAAGTCTAACTCTGGTACGTTCTGGCGGGATTGTAGTTCCAGTTGCTTGGCGTGTGCCCTCTGTGCTTCTAGTCTTTGATTTATACTTCGTTGTGTTTCGTTTATTTGCTGCTGGAGCCTGTCACGAATGGCCGACCGAGAATCACGCTGTTGGCTGATTTGAGATATAGCTGCATGCATCTCTGCAGCCTCTGCACTCTCCTTTTGAAGGGTTTGCCGATGTGTCTGGAGCTTTAAATTGAGAATCTCGATATCCTTCTCTTTCATCCGCTGGTCCTCTATGTATACAAAAGCCACAGTTAGAATAGCAATCCAAACAACCTAATATCAGTGTGGGCGCGAACCTTGAAGTTCCGCGAGATCGATATAAAACTGGTTCCTTTCTTCCAACACTTGCTTTCTTCCTCTTTCGATGAAGGAGTCGAATTTTTGGGAAAACTGAGACATCCTCGAACGAAGCTCCTCGAATCGAAAGTTCAGGGTTGGGAGTTGATCAGCCATTGACGGCGCGTCAGCCGTTGTAAGTGGGGGTCGAGCAGTTGAGGAGTAAGGATCAAAAGCCGCCATCTTGAATAGTTGTTGGGTGCCTTTATTTGGGTATCCGACTTCGACTTCGCAGGGAGCAATCCGTATGAGTTCCCCCACTGGATGTTATCGCGTATGTTGATGATATAAACACGAAGGTTAAAGCCAAAAGTGGACTAGCGCAGGAAATGAAATGGACCGACCGGGACTCAATTAGGTAAGCTCTCGGAAATGGCCTTTTATAAGTCCGCCAAGGTAAGGTTTTTAGGTAAGCAGCTTGGTAGGAACCTATCAGAAGCTCCTTTTCCTCTTTCTTTGGTTAAAGGCTCTTTCCTAGATTGAGACGACATCGACATCTTGAAGGCAACCTAACAGTATAATCAATGTCTCGTGTCTAAAGCCGCAAGGCTTTTTACATGGCATTGCTCAGATAACTATGTCTTTATACTGCTCTACCATTGCACTGTATACATATACAGTAACTATACTACCAGATGGCTGATCATTGGAAAGATGAGGTGTCTCTCGGCCACTTGGGAAGAGCAACTTACGTCGGAGAGCTACAGGAATGGAGATTCTCGCGGGCGCCCAACCAAGGTACGGCTCTTAGGTAGAACCCCTCAGGCAGGGCCTGCCTGCTAACGTATATCACTAGGCTTTGTCTTCAAACTTGCGGGTGAAGCAAATATAATCTCCCATGGCACAAATCCAGGCCTTTCTCAGGCGCCGAGAAATGCAAACCCCGTGACGAAGAGAACAGAGCAGATGCTATTGAATTTATACCCAGAACTAACTCATGGGCTTTCAACTATGGTTCTGGAAGAGGCAACTTCACGAGCTATTACTTCTACTTCCTCTCGTTTCGAGCCAAGCAGTCATGAGTGTCTAGCGTTTGGGGATATTGAGCTTATGACGGACGACCGAATAGCATGTCAAACAATTCCAATAATGGTATTCTCAACAGGGGGTCAAAGTTCGTCCCTTGCTCTATGCCCATGTGACTGCAGCCGTAACACCCTATTCCCAAGTGCCGCATCCAACATTGATGACGACCAGTCTGTTTGGTGGAACGTTCCTGGTGGCCCTGTGAAGCAGGTATTATCTTCAGAATCGATCCAGGAGCCAAAAAAATGTTTTGCAGCCAGGCTCTCCTATTCCACCACAATATTTAGCCCGATTTACCACCGTCATCCGGTCCCAGTGAACTTAAACGATAATAGTTACACGGAGTCATGTCTATTGTCACATATAGACCCAAATCCCCTTGTCAATATACCATGCGACCTGACAGGTGGCTATCCCCATGCTGATGTAACTTTCAACCCTTGGTATCAGCGGCAAATCGCCGTGATTGACCGTGCAGGAAATTGGAGCGTTTGGGATCTGCAACGCAGACAGCAGCGAAAAGCTGGCTGGTATGCTGAACGCGGACCAAACGGCTCCATACGACTCCATGAATATGAGAAAAGTTCCAAGCCAATTGACCACTATGACGGTTGGGGTGCAATATTATGGGTCTGCACCATCCACCAGTTGTTAGTTTGTGATAGACGCAACGTTTATATCTGTCGTATGGACGTGCGTCCACCAGAACAGGAGGAGCTTAGTCTTGGTCTCGAGCTTCATTCAGAGTGGATTCTTGATGCCCTACGAAGTCCAAAAACACCTTCCCACGTATTTATCCTCACAACGCTGAGAATCATTTGGGTATATGTTCCGCCTCCTGACGACTCTCGTCTTAGCCAAAGCGACAATGCTCACGCTGCATCTATTCTGCTTTCTTGGAGACATTTCCGAGACCCAGAGGATATAAGTCTCCGGCTAACCCCGATATCCGTGGAAACAGGTAAATACTCAAAATGTTCCGTGGACTTCATCACGCTAATTTTGATTAGACCTTTTCATAATGATGCATTCCCGTCTGAATCTGCTTGCTACGACTGTCCAGGTGCTTTCATCTGACGAGCCGTCCTACCCGGTATCTATATGTGATACAAGGATTCTTCATCTGCCCAAAGTCAAAAGTGAACATACAGCATGCGGAATAAAAACATCTCATAATACAGTAAACTTTTCTAGTATATCTTTCCAAGATAACAGGAATCCTGATTCGTATTTGGATGATGATAGCACCGGCTCACCGAAATCAGTTGCATTTATAGGACAACTAATGGATGGAAGACTGGTTGAATGCATATATCTAGCCACAGTACCGAATCAAGAGATATCACCGGATATTATTCCCATCTCAGTTGGCAGGAAGAAAAGGCCTGTTAAATACCATGCGAGGCTTGCTGATGAATCTGATTTTGTCGTACAGGATGGGGAAAAGTCGCTTTTGATACCCATGTGCCTACCGAACAAGCCAACGAAGACTGGTTCATCAATGGCCGTTCTTCCAACATATGAAACGCGAGAACAATGGCAGCAGCAATATTCATTAGCTACGTCTATTCTCGAGTACATGAAAATCGCCAACTTCACCGAAAGTGAGAAGACAACCTCTTTCGGAGACTGGCTGAATGCTTTGAAAGGCCAAACTGCGGAGCTGATTCCAGCCCTAACATCCTGTTCAACTTCTCTTTTACTGTTAGTAGTACCCGTTTTATTTCTTCCGATTCAACATACTTACAATAATCAAGGTCAGAAGCCGTTCCGTCATCTTTTTCGATAGACGAAGCAGAAAACATTGCAAAGGCATTTGACCAATTCATCCTCGAGTTTGCAGGTTCTGCGGACTGCATGCTACCTGGGTTCCAATTACGTATTTTGCAACTACCCTCCACACTCATTTCTAAATTCTCAATGATCGAACCAAATACATGGAATGATTACTCTTTGATGGAACTTTACGATACAATGATTTGTCTCTGGTTGGCTCCTCTGCCAGACGGGATTCCAAACCGGCTCCGGGCGTTAAAAGAACAGACTATTCGGGAAGTGATTTCTGAACTTTGCATTGCGAGTATTATGTTATTCCGTTGCGGAGCTGAAGAAGCAGAGGACGGCAAGGAAACTGGGTCAAGTTCGCTGGTCAAGCCTGAAGCTCACAGTGTTTCCGAGTTCAAAGAGCAACTGACCCAATGGTCCGGGGGTGATGTTTCTTCATCTCCGCCCCGGACACGGGGTTTAAATGACAACCAGACCGGAGCTATGCTGGCTTCACTTGCGCAGTACACTGCCATCCATTGTCAGCGGCCAATCTCAAAAAAGACCATCAACACGGCCGCACACTGGGTAAATGGAAGTGACCCTAGCCAGTATGACTGGCAAGCTACCGTCTCCTTACACGATAACTCACAATCTGAAAACGACAACAATTTTAAACGGCGTAAACGGAAAGAAAGGAGAGCATCTTCATCCGCAGTGCAGTCACAACGAAGTGTTTCAGCCGACATCCCAATAACTAGGCCGTGGGGGAGCCAACCAGAAACTAATGCATTCAGCTCTGGTCTAGGTAGCAGTCAAGTAAGTGAAGGCGGCTTTACGATGACACAAGGAGAGCAAGGCGTATTCGGAAGGAGGAGACCACTCCTCAAATCCAAGAAAAAGAAACGTGTGGCAGGATTTTGAGTACAGGCCGACCCGTGTGGACAGGAGAATGCAGCGTTGCGACCTGCTAATATTCTTATATGACTTGAATATAGACTTTGTACAAATCGGGGATTTTAATTGATAGGTGCAGTATGCATGTTGCCTTGAACTGGCACTTGGTGAATTATCACCTGGGTAGGATGTCAATTGCTTTCTACCCGGTTTCTTTATCCATAATAGTATGTATTTGAAGAATGACTAGCTAGTTAGCGATGACCAAAGATATCGATGGTGTCAGGACTTTCATCCTCATCCTCGTCCTCGTCATCCTCATCTTCCGTTTCCTGGTTGTCTGAGCTACCGTCACTCCCAGGTTCGGTTTCAGCATCACTGCTCCCAATTAGCCCGAGTCTTTCCTTTATGTTTACACCACTCCAGAAATTAAAACCACTAAAGCTTCCCCTGGTTAATCGCATGGGTCCCCTGGATTGGGATGTTGAGCTATCAACGTCTTCTTGACGGCTAAGTGCAAAGTAGTTAGTCACTACTGGCGACTTTGGAGCTGCTCTCGAACTATGAAGAAAAGATGTATGAGGAAGGCTACGGGCCTGTGATCCTCCACTGTCAGTAGGCGCCTCATGGAAATGGCGACCTGGCGTCTCGACGACAGAATTCCTGGCTCCGGTACGGTGATCGTTGGAGGTTCCATGTATAGGAACGGCAAGGCCTTCACCACCACTAAAGGAGTTCTGTCTACCCTCCGCATGTTGTGCCGGATTGTAACTACCGTTCAACAACTGCCTTTGGATAGTGTTGTATGACTCACATCTACACTAATCAGCAAACATTCAAATGGGCTAGGGTAATCTCAGAGCATACATTTCACATTTCAGGCCCAGCCAATGGTATGGCACAACGCTCTTCGCATGACAATCATTGCAATATATAAGGGCATTTGTATCTTTGAGTTCAGGAGGCATTGGCTGGCTCATAATGGTCCGATCAAGGTTTCTGAAGTTAGCCTCCATATTCGTAACACTTTTGCTACAAATGGGGCAGCGATATGAACTGCGAGAATGCTCAGAAAAGCACTTTTGATGTATGCTATGGCCGCATCGCATGAAAATAACCGTATCGGGTGAGCTGAACATGAATTCTCCACATATTGGGCAATCACATTTCGTTGAGCGTTCAATGCATCTGTGGGTTTCTTGAATCGCAATTGGTATACAGGCAGAGCAAGTCTATTAAGAATCAGCATGACTTAATATAAACCATGAAGACGTGTAGATATTACCTGGCAGTGGAAAAAATCTTTTCCAAGTCCCTGACCAAGGCGACAAATGCCACAATCACCGCAATGGTATATGCTTTTTTCAGCATCATCATCCCAGAGTTTACATATAGAGCAATAATAAAAGGCTGATTGGGCGCCACAGGAATTGCACCATTGGCCTGCAGGCTGTGGAGAATAACATAGCATGCAAAGCATGTTTTCTGTTTTCTTTCGATCAAGGGTATGAGATTCGCTCTCGTTATGACAGAACCGGCAAGGGTACCATTTCTTACACGTAAAGCATTGAATCTTCACGTTCCTTTTGTAGTGCATGCAACCTAGCTCAACGACTTCATCGGATGCGGCTTCTTCAAGATTGTCCGTAAACGGGTCATCTGCAGGTTGGTTATCATTAACAGACCTGCAAAAGTATGTTCGTTCCAAGTCTTCCTGCGATAGGTAATACGGGCTTCCGGATATACCACTGTCCGGCTCTGAACTAGACGAAAGATTGCCTAACACTCGTTGCTTTCTTGATGATTCTGGAGTACAAGGGGCATCGTGTCCTTGGGGTGTGGGTGGAGGAGAGCGGGACTTGACCGCGGAATAATACCCTTCTGTCATGATTTCATGCATCAACCGGGCTTTTTCCTGGCTTGAAACGTCTAATTTCCAAATCGCGTGGATCCGCCTCCGCATTTCGACTATATCATCACTTTCTGCCGCATATTTTGTGGTATTTTCCTCCCATCCAAGTTGATCCAGATGAGCTTGTGAGGTGGTCTCGTTGCCATTACTCCCAGGCTGACCATGGGAGTCGGAGCCCAAGTCCATCCTGTAAATGCAGCGATTCTAGCACCGCATTTCCTTTAATTCCGCCTTAATTTCCACTGCTATCCATACGACTTCAACGTGGTTGAGAATGGTATAGCCCACGGCTATGGGTTGGTCTCAGGCTTCGGCGTATCGGATTTGAATGGCGAATATGGAATCCGTCGTGAATTCTAGTGGACTCACAGCCTTTATATTAGCTCATTCATTTAACTCTTTATAATTTGAGGGTAATCCGTGGCCTTACATTCACTGTTACGCTATTGAAGTCCCCGTGGCCTACAGGATGCTGCCTCCAGATAGTCTCAGCTGAGCCGACAGCGACAACGACCGCGTGTTGAAGAGTTTCTAGTCAAAAGACCATATAGAAGATGTAAGATAAGTCACTGGCTAAATATACGGTAGCTTATGAAGGGAGCTGGCAAAGGTAACCGGGTGTTTATGGCTGTCTGGACGCTGGAATTGCCTTTCTTGTAGGACGATGATATGAACGATAAGAGAAGTTAAGGTTTGGGCGAAGGCACGAGCCAAAGGTGCAGAATCGGGAAGGATCATGTGATAAAGCTTATCGGGCGACCCGTAATTACAATACCAGTATATGTATTTTTGACGAAGCAGGGCAAGGCAACGTCTCCAAGATATAGAGAAATGCTCACTAATTGAGCTGCAGAGGCACTGATATAAGTTCGAATCAGTCCATTGCTATCGTGTTATTATGACGTTTTCAGAATTGTGTAACCACGGGGTGCTGCAGTGTTGGCGGTCGAGTCGCGATACTTGCGAGAGCGGAAACTTTGGATTCTCAACTTTGGAGCCTTCACTACCTAGCTGATGTATTTCCGCGGGCAAAGCTGGAGGGCAAACGGAACTGTGGCTACCTCACTTGAGACAAAGGTTCATACTTTCGTTTAACAAGTGCAAGGTTCTGTTAAATTGTCTCGCACCGATCGACTGGGGTCTAGGTATTCTTCCGATAATCCTATATGGCATCTATTAGTACAAAATTGCAGATAGGGTCGAATGAATTGTATGTAGCTCTAGATAGCCTTACATTGGGGAATTGCAAGCTATATGTGGTTGCTGCCAATACCGGACCATCGTTAGCGTCTTCAGGATCTTGCGCTCAAGACTTCCAGGCTGAGACGCGTTTTCGAGAAAGTGAAGCGTATTAATGATTCGACGCGGATCGAAGTCTACATCAGTCCCTTTTCTAAAGGCAGATCGTAGGACCCAACGGATAACGTAGCGTGAAGGGCTGGAGTATTGGACGGTTTTTAAAGCGGTGCGGTAGAGGTGCCGGAAGGCCATAGTAACACCATGTTTGTAGGTTACCGACTCAAGGGCCTGAACTGTCAAAGTCATCTGCCCTTATAAGCGGAGACCACAAATATTGTATTCCAGATAGGAGGGTTGAATTTGGAACGAGAAGGCATTTGAAATGTTGCTTAGGAACTCTGAAGTTATTAAACCTTGGAGTTAAACTTGATTATGTAATGAGTTAACCAGTCCACTAGTTAACCTCATTGGCCTGAATACAAATTTGGGGGGCATGTGCTAAGAAAAAAATGCAATAATATAGAATGAATTAGGATGAATATGTACGCTAAAAGGCCATGACAGCTGGTTAATAAGCCTACTAGCTAGGCCGTACATTACGTTTCAAAGGGGAAAATGGCGGGATCTCCAACGGTTTATTCAGGCCAAGTCGCCGGTTACGGCGATCATTCTCAACGCGTTTCCCATCTGGATCAGCAAAAATACCACTCTGGTCCTGTACATGCGAATGCTGTTTGGATAGAGTACGTAGGGGTCCAAAGTTTTCGTCAAGTGGTAGTTTGTCTCCAATAGTCCTAAGTATTCGTCGCTTTTTGACGGGATCCGGAAGACCATCGTCTTCGGAAAAGTCTTTCGTATCCTTTTGCTTCTGGGGACGATTGCCAACCCGCGGTGCTGGGCCTTTTGTGAATTTCGGAATATTGGTCGATTTCGGGGGATTCTTTAGCGGCTGAGAATTTGTTTTGCGTTTATTCGTGGCGGAGGCCTCGTTTTCATATGGCGGTAGACTCTTTTCCTTAATCCTCGAGGGCTTGGCCTCCACAAATGAAAGACCATCGCCATCGCTTTCGCTAGATGTGAAGTTTACCGCGAAGTCATGGCTCTGACGGTTCAGAAACGGGGTGATAGAAAATATTGATTTGTCTCCAGGAGCCGCGGATATTTTTGTTGGTAGCTTTGACATGTGGTTCGGCCCCGGCGTACCTATAGATGCATCTGTACCGAAATATAGGCTGCGTGGAGGGTTGTCTGATGCATCTACAAGGTTTTTGGTATGATTGCGGCGAGCAGGAGACATGTCGGAATCTTGAACCTTCACCTGTTTCTTCGACACCGTTACACCCCGGGTATCTGATTTGGAGGTATGGGTTGAAGTTTTGCTAGTTTGAGGCTCGCCGTTGACATTTACGTCGTGTTGCGGGCTCATGATCGTTCTATTTGATACATGGGAGACCCTCACTCTTTCTGAGTTGCGCTTTGCGTCGCGAAGTTCAACCTCGAGGGAGCTGACTCGGCGTTCTAAAGAAAGCTTTTCCGAGAGTATAGTCTGATAAGAGCTGTTCTGGGAACGAAGCCGGGTGATTTCTGGTTTCATATTTGAAACTTCTCGCACCAGAGATGCATTTTCAGCCCGTAGTTTACTCATTTCAGCGGCAAGGGACTGCATATATGACAATTCTGCCTACCACATATGTCAATATTTCGAGGCGTCATTGCCAGGTTACATAGAGCGATAACTGACCTGCAGGCTATCTATCATCTTGACCTTGGCCTGGAAGGACTTATGTAGTTCTTCTATATCATGTTGCATACGGGTTGAATGCTCCCGTATCCGCGAGTTCTCTGTCTCTGTATAATTTAGTTGCTGTTTTGTTTGGCTTTGCTCTTTGCTAATGGTCTCTTTATCATGCTCAGAGAGCAGCAATTGCAGTCTAGGCAGCCGTGCATTTTCCTCAGCCAACAGCAAACTTGCACAATAAAGACTCCTCTCAAATTTTGCTTCAAGCTCGGAAAAGGGATGCTAGATCTTACATCAGAAGGTGTTCTTCGACTCTGCTTGTTTGTTCGACGCTATAACTTACCACTTCCATATTCTTAACCAAAATAGAGCCGCAAAAATATATAAATGTGTATACTGTATGTGAGTCCAAAACAATATGCTTCTATCAATCTACTGTAACAAATGTAGATATGAAACTGACATCTCATGTGTTGTTCCAATGTTGCGTTGTCGTGGTCATGAAACTTTTATCAACAAGTGAGGTCGCGTTGCTTACGTAACTAAATTAGTTAACCATGAACCACCAACTTCCAGCTTCAAAATGACACCTTTCCGTCATCTCAGAGCTCTGGTAAACAGAAACGACCGAATAACACCAAACATGAGGTTGTTTTCGCTGATTCTTTGCGCAATATGGCCAATTGCGCTTGCCCTGGGTGCCTCATCAAAGGCCGGAGATAAATATTCGAAATTCAAGACTGCGTCAAGGTCTACTGGCGCAGTAACTCTGGACGATGCAAGCTATCATGAACTCACCGCGGCTCCTCGAGATTACCATACTGTTGTGCTCTTGACGGCCATGGACTCGCGATTCGGATGTGAGATCTGCAAGATGTTCCAGCCGGAGTGGGAACTTCTCAGTCGGACTTGGAGCAAGGCTAAACTTGGAGACTCAAAGTTGGTCTTTGGTACACTCGACTTCTTGGATGGTAAAGGCACATTCCAGCAGGTAATTGAACGGCAAAAGAAACATCACTATTGGCGTTATATCGCGGTACTAACTGCCATCAGCTCAAACTTCAAACTGCACCGGTCGTGATTCTCCTGCCTCCTTCCTCTGGCCCAGGCTCCGATAACAAGCCAGCTCGATATGACTTCAGCAGGTGAGTGTGAATTCAAAGGAAGTGAAGGAATGAACAGTGAACTAAATGATGCTTCTTCCAGTCCTGTCACTGCGGAGCAGATGCACCTATGGATTAGCCGTCACCTCGCTGGAGTCCCAACACCGAAGCTTGTTCGACCAATAAACTACACCCGAATGATGGGGATGTTGATAGGGATGTTAGCGGTCATATCGCTTATCACTGTATCTTCCAAATATGTCGTGCCAATTTTGCGAAGTCGCAACCTATGGACAGCCCTAAGCCTCCTTGCGATTTTGCTCTTTACTACTGGCCACATGTTTAACCATATCCGCAAGGTACCGTACGTTGCGGGTGACGGTAAGGGAGGAATCAGCTACTTTGCTGGAGGATTCCAGACCCAATTCGGCCTAGAAAGTCAGATTATAGCTGCTATCTGTGAGTTCTCCACCTTAGTTAATGTAACTGGGGTATTTCTCCTAATAAACCTCTCTAGATGGTGTTTTATCCCTCGGCTCCATAGCTCTCGCTATGAAAGCACCGAGAATACTGGACCCTCAGTCGCAGCGAGTCACTGTAATTCTCTGGAGTGCTGTGACCTGGGTCATGTACAGCTTCCTTATTAGCCTTTTCCGTGTAAAGAACGGTTCATACCCGCTCTCAATTCCTCCATTTTAATTGTTTATAGAATTTTTTTTTTCGAGTACAAGCATGGTGCCCTACTCATGCCAGCGTCTAAAATGTCCCCCCGCCTTTCTATCAATAAGAAATATAAGATTGAACTTCTTGTGTTTTATTATTTCAATAATTACTGATTGCAATTGTTCAGTACTTGAACTGGTGTCAGAAAAACCAAAGTCACGATCTTGAAACATATGTTGTTTATTGAAGTTGCCAGGGCCACAGGCCGCTCAGAGGCTTTCAACTAAAGGATGAAGACGATAGACTAGGATACATGGAGTAATAGGTAATGGATGATATGACAGCCGGGAAAAATATCGTCCGGCCGGCATCAACAGGAAGGCCATGATCATGTCATAACATGTCATGCCACATTATGAATGCGGGTGATGTCTTACGTGTCAACCCGAAGATCCACCATTAAGCAGAGGAGTTTGGAGGGAGGCAGAAGGAGAATATGAGTGGCACTCTATCTTATGACGACTTTCGAGCCTCTCCGCTGGAGCTGGAATCGGTGCGAGCAAGGTTAGCACCATTCATCTGACCATCTTCCTCCTGTGTTTCTTCTTCAAAGACGGGTTCGGGCTCGTGTGTCTCGAACTTGGTCTTGAAGTCAGCGAGACCATGGGTACTGCTGTTGGACCGACGGCGAGAGTTGGTGAATGTGTATCCGTAGTCATGTACTTCGTCTCCGGAGCGGCCCCTAGATACGAAAAGGGAGACAGATAAGCATCAATCGTATGATGTTGTGCGTCCTGAAGCCCCATCTTCAATCTGGGCTGACTTTGAGTTTAAGGGGTGAGGGGGTGACGAAGCCGGAGTGAGAAGAGGAAGACGACAGCTTACCAGTTGCCTTTGCCGCCACCGTCCTTCTTTGTCTTCTTGGGGTCGGCGTCGATGTGTCCTGACTTTGCGAAGTAGCGAGGGAGATGCTCCTGGAAACTGGCTGGGTCGTCGTGGGCGGCAGAGTGGTCCCTGTCGTTCATCTTGTGGGAGCGAGTCACTAGACGTGCGGTTAGCTACCTCAGGTATAAGGGCCATTACGATGTCACCTACTGATGGATTGCTGTTTGCGGTCCTGGCAGTGATGGTGGTGGTAGTGAGAGTAGCTGCGGTACTGGCGGTTGCGGAGGCTGTCGTAGCGAGAGAATTGGTAGGCACTGGTGGGAGGAGAGAGAGAAGAGGAGATGATGTCAAGTTCCTCCTGCTGCCGAGCGTCTCTGCTGCCTCCCTTTTATACTCTTCTGCTGCGTCGCCCAAATAAGGCTCGTGACCGCCTGCCGGATTAGCTAACAACGCGGACCCACTTTTACCCCAGATTTGGTGGCGTCATATTGGATTATATAATCACAGGGAAGCCGATGGAAGCTCGCAACAGGACGTGAAAAAGGGGTTAAATTAACAGTTTGGATTGCATGGTGACATGAAGGTAGGTAGATACATCAAGGTGACAGACACACTAGTAGAAGTACATGGTAAGGGAAAGGAGAAGAGGAAAGTAAGGGGTGAGGGTAGAAAGAAGAAGAGGAGGAGGAGGAGGAGGCTAAGAGGTTTGTTCTATCTCCGGGACACCGTGCTCTATGATCCATGAGAACCAATGTTCGAGGTTTCCCTTCTCTATGTAATGCTTCAGCAGGCTGTTCTCATCGTCAAGTTCTGTTGATAGGTGGCCGCGTTGCTCGGGGAGCAGCCGGGCAACCAGTTTATGTGGAACATCCACTCTGTCAAGGATGTCGGTGGGTCGGTGAAGGTGGTTCGACTCACTATCGAAGCCCAGCCCTGAAACGAAACATCATATGTTAGCTGGATGATGCATTTGTTTAGCAAAAAAATAAGGAGACACTCACCGTTTGTGTAGTCCATTATCGTCTTGAAGAGCGCGGTAGAGCGGATCTCGGCCTCGACCTCATCGTCTGTCTTGCCAGCCGTGGCGCTGATATGCTCCCAGTTGTCCCGGATCATGCAGCGACGCCAGACAATCTTCTCCAGATTTTCGCGATAAGCGCCGTCTTCCTTAACTGAGCCGCTCAGGTTCAGCGCACGCAGGGCAAAGCTGAACTCATGTCCGGCTACCTCGTTCTCCTCCGGCGGACCACCCGCTGGGATCGGGTCCATCAGAGTCAAAAGGTCCGCCAGCTCATCTCCTTGTACCGGACAACGAGTTACTAGCTTTGCCAGGCCACGCTGAAGGGTCTCGCGCAGAGCAGGTTTCGACTGCACGAAAACATTCGCAAATTGGTCGTTTGCTATCTGCAATCGCGCGCTTTCGTCGATGGCTTCGTTCAAGTGCGGCAGGTTGTCATACACAGACTCTTGGATCGTTGCTAGCTCTGTCTCATCCTCAAAGCAGCTCAGGTTCACCTGCATCCCCGTCTGAGTCTCTCGTGCTGCCAGCGTGGACAACTTTGCCAGTGCAAGCTCCACCCGCTTGCTCCATAGATTGGTTTCATGCTGGGTCGCGAGCTCCGTCAGAATCTTCGCTGCGTTGTCGTAGTTGCGCTCACCCAGCACTTCGTTCATCCAGGACAGCTTTCCGTAACCAGGCCTCTTGCGTAGGAAACGGGTCACATCGTCCTTGTACTCCCGCATAATCAACAACATTGCCGGCTGTCCAGCCGTTATCTGTCGGGTAAAAAAAGCATCTGCCCAGGGTTCGCCGTACCTGGTGAAATAGCTGTCAATCCTAGACCGCCATTGCTTCACAGCTTCTTCACGCGGACCGGGTGTTGCTCGATCCACTGCTTTCTGGGGATGTTTCTGGTCAATCTTATCATGAACCTCGACCATAAGCTCCACAAGTGCCGTCATGTCATGAAAATTCTCGGCCAAAGTCACAGCCTCTTCTAAATGTCCGATAGCAGCCATCTTGTAAAGTTGGGGCTTCCTCCTTTCGCGATGTGCCTTTTCAAGCAATTTGCCGTCATTCTGGATCTGACGATCTTCACTTACAGCGCATAATTGTCGTCGTTCCTTGTAGATTTGTGAAAACACTGCAAACTGACGTGAAAGGTTTTTCTCAAGTGCCTTCGCAGGGCTATCCTCGGCGTCTGTCTTGCCGCTTTGTGACAGCTGTCGCATCCACTGAATACATGTATTAAGTTCTGTGTCCAACAGGTTTTCCGTCTCGTCATAATTAATATCCAGCGATGTCCAGAACTCGGAAAGCTCAGCACACTGTGGGGTTTTCAGAGCTAACGAAGTATCATCGATCCCGTACAAATGTGCATTTTCTCGGCGGAAGCTGAAGGCAGTTTCCAACGCTGCCAGCGAGATCTCGCTCGCCTGCCACACCTTGTCAATAAAGTCCCGCGTCACGCTCTGCGGCTTGTTATAGGCGACTCGAATGCCATTCATTATCCACGGAATGATATGTTCCATCTGCCAGGTATCATAGATAAACCAGTGCCTGATGGGATCGTCCGGTCCATCCTCTTCCTTAGCAGAGCTCTTGAATTTTTCTCCCATGGTCTCAATCAAGTGTCCAAGATACAAGTCTTTCTTGGGGTATCTTTTCTTAAGGTCGTTATAGAGTGCCCAGATCGCTTTACTCGCTGCCATTTTTTCTGCGTCCCAGAGGAGCTGCCACCGAATCGAATAGCTAAGTTCAATATGGTTGTTCTTGATATATTTTGCAAGAGCTTGTAGAGCGTTGGACCGCATTGTCATTTGATGCTCCAAGGACGCCGCTATGGAGGAAATATACCTCGAGCTCGAATGAAGGATTTCGTCCGTAATATTTAGGATTGCTTCTTCAAGGCGGGGTTTCGAAGACAGCTCCTTGTAGTGGTGGAAATTGATAGGGTTGTCTTTGGCATTTTCAAAGAAGACAATCTGTTCAAGGCGTAGTTTGGTCGTCAATTGTACATCTTGTGCCGCTTCAGTCTTCAGACGCAAGCTGGACAGATGAACAAGTCCGTAGTTTTGGATGACCAGCACACAGCAGTCTCGGCTATGTTCGTCACCGCCATCATCTAGAGTCGATCCAATAACCACGAAATTGTCTCGGTCCCGAAGTCGAACAAGATCCTGAAATTCGGGTGTGCCATCCTCTGTCGAATTTTCCACAGGTGTTAACGACACGAGGACGGTAGCATTTTTGAAGACGATGAAAGCACTTTTGCCGGGACGCGGCACATATATCTTTGGGGTAGAGTCCGCAGAGTCCTGTAGCGGACCCTCATAATCAATTTTGAAGACCCGACCAGCTTCTGGGACATTTTCTGGAAAGGCCAAATCAACAACGAAGTACGAAGTGGTTTCTCCGGAGACGGAGAATAAAACCCAGAGTGAGAGGTCATGTTCCGTATCGTTTGAACGTTTGCTGTTGTTCTTGATTGCAAAATCCAAGACTTGTATGGAGGCAAGGGAGCCGTGTTCAGAGCTTAAGCCCGTGTCTTTCAGCGCTCTGTTGATCTCGAGCGTTGCGTCCATACGTGCCTTCAAGCCGCTGCCATTGTTCCAGTGTATATCCCAGACTTCAATCAATCCCGAGCTAGTCGCAATAATGACCTCACGCTGGCCCCGTTGTGCGGATCGGCCGCCTTTTGCAGCAGCAATATTCCTTCTCCAAGAGGCACCGCTAAATACATTCCTCAAACCTCCAAATATACCGCCACTCGTAGCACGATTAGCCAAGTCAAGGAACCTTATGTTCAGGCTTGCTTTGCCATGAGCATCCATAATAGTCAGATGAGCAACGCGACCAGTAGAAAGAGTGATGATGAACCCGGACGGCTCCGCATTAAGTAGGCCCGTAGCAAATTCTCCGGACATCATTCCGGGTATTGAGCCATGAACTGTATTACATTTTTGTTTTATCAACCCAAGGATAACGTTATTCGAAATCGTTTGCCAGAATGTAATTTTTCCGGTAGCTGGTATCACCACTAACATGCCTGCATCGCTTGTCGAAGAGCTCGAGGTAAACGCGCCAAGTGGTAAAGGGTCGATGTGTTTTGGAGATGGTTCAGGTATGTTGAACGTAGAGAAGTCACTTGGGCTGATAGAGGAGGAACCCGACGAATAAGCCCAAACATAGGCCTGGTTGTGGGTGAGAATAAGTGAGTTTGCATGTTCTGGTGATATAACGCATCGAAATGGGGCTAGAGTTGTTATTTCGACAGTTAATACGTGGTAGACCTGTAATATAAGGATAGCGTACCTGAAGACTTCTGAAGAGGCTCTGGCAGGGCGGAGACTCGAGTAGCACTGTAGAAGCCATTATCCAGCTAAAGAAGCTACTAGTTAGTCATATTACGCGTCTTCGATAATGAACATAACGCGCTGGGAAGCTTACGATAAGAGTTGAATGGGAATCGTAGGTAGGTCGATCCGACTCCTTACGACCGCGCACAGGGAGGTCGATAGATGTGTCACCCGCAGCCAACGAAGGGCCGTCTTCAAGGTCTGGCTCTACTGCCAAACAGTGCGCTTGTTCGTATGCTGCCGTGTCGAGCTCCGTGTCTCCGCCAGCGTCAGCATGTTTTGTTGACCGCTGTCTCTTTGCTCGCGGAGGTTGGAAGCCGTCCTCTGATCTAGGCCTCTGTCGTCGCCGGGGTCGAATAGATGCTGCGGTCACGGCAACGCCTCCCTGAGAAGAAAACATTGCGGCAGCAAGTAGAGTGGCCGTGGCAACGAGCCTCTTCTAACGGGAGGAGAGAAAAGAAACTAGGGAATCTGATGTCAAGCTTGCATCTCCAAGATCTTTTTTTTTCATTTGTTTTGGTTGATTTCAATAAATCTCTTGATGCGGCGACAAGCACGCTAAGCCAGGTCGGGCCTAGTCCAGAATTCTACTTCAACTTCAGCTTTCTACAACACTGACAGCTCATCAATTGACGAAGCCGAGAAAAGTTTTATTAATAGTGGTATTGATTTGAAAGGTTTACTGGTCATTGTATATACATCATGAAGCCCTATTGCTATGATACAGGTTTCTTCTTTTTCTTTTGGTCTGGGCATTAAGGAGCAAAGGGGGGCAAGCCAA